ACCCAGAAAAACGGCAGCTTTGCAGAGGCTTATTTACACAATGAAAGGACCGGGGACGGGACCAGCTCTCGCCCACCCCCAACCCCAGCTGCAGGAGCCATCGTGTCTCCCCCATGTCTCCTGGGGAAACGTTCCAAGACCCCTAGTGGATCTAGGCCTGAGACCGTGGGTGGTACTGCGCCCTGGGTGTGCTGTTGTTGTCCCCCTGCTCCTGCTGGCTTCTCTTGGGTAGGTCCGCATTCCCAGCGTCACTAGGCTTACACTTGGGGGCCACTGCGAAGTGAGGTAATGGTGGCGTGAACTCAAGCACAGCCATACTGCCGTTGATCTGGAACCAGAAGGGCTACTGAGTGATTGACAGATGGGCGGCGTCTGCACTGTAGAAATGATGGACAAAGGGATCGCTCACATCTGGGTGGGACATTTCACCGCACGCCTCAGAACAGCGCACAATCTGGAACTCATAAATTGTTTACATCTGGAATTTTCCACGTAGTATTTCAGACCACAGAAAGTGAGGCTGCATAAGGGGAGGAGCTGTAACTGTAACCCCGCCTCTTGCCCTTCACAGACAGCTCTCTCCTGTGGTTTCCGCTCCGCGCTCGGGAGCAGTGAAACCCACAGTGTAGGTAGGGAAGGGTCTCAGCGGATGAGGCTGGTCCGGGGTGGAGCGGCTGAGTGTTTTTAAAGGCGACTGCCTTTAGAAGTTTTGGCGTGCCAGGCTTGGGTGCCTGTCACCCCTTCATGTACACCAGCTCTTTGTCACATGACATCTAGTCGTGGTGATAGATTTCATGTCTGTGTCAGCCAACAAATCGCTCTGTGGTCCGTGTTTCCTGTGAACAACATGGATTTGGGTGCCTGATCCAAAATTATTTCATCGCTAACGTCTTTGCCCACGACTGTGTTGCATCAGCTCGAGGAAGACTGCACACATGCACACACGTGCACACGTGTGCATGAGTTTACCGTGCCGCATTCCTGAGAAGCAAGCCCTGCAGCGGCTGCATTATGTAGCTGATGCTGTGCTCGGGGATCCCCGGCCAGCTTTCTGCGCGTTTCCTAAGTGCTCTGGAGAGTGGCTGTGTTGGAAGGCACCCTTTCGAGCAGCAGTCCCCAACCTCTGTGGCACCAGGGACCGGTTTTGCGGAAGACAATTTTTCCGCGGGGTGGTGGCGGAGGACAGGAGGCAGAACTCAGGCAGTAACGCCAGCGAAGCCCGCTCCCCACCTCCTGCTGTGCGGCCCGGTTCCTAGTAGGCCGAGGACCTGTGCCGAGTGGGACCCCAGATTCAGAGGACTAACCCTGGTCTGGACCCAATTTTGGTCTGTTACCTGATGGGCAACCTTGACGCCGCTCGCAGCTGCCCAGTGAGATGGCATGAGTTGTCCCAGCAGACCCCACAGATGAGGGGCTGGGCCCAAGGGGCGTCGAGGGCTCACCCGCACCTCCTTGACTGGCTGCAGATGGAGTCCGTTACCAGCCATGCAGCAGGAGGGAGAGGTTAAACGGGGAAAAAGCCTGTGCAGCTCTTCCGTGGTCGAGGGGCTGAACCCTACAGCTGAGACTGGGACCCCAGGTCCTCGTCGCGCAGATGTGCTTGCTCTGCGGATCAGCCCTGGGAAGGAGGGAGGAAAGGGTGTGGGGAAGTGATTAGTTCAGTGGCAGGCACAGACCAGCTGCAGCTGGTGCAGAGAACAACGGTTCAGCCGTTTTCCTTATCGCCCTTTTGTGGAGCGTGATTGTTGATGCCTCAAATGAGAGGAATATTTTTGTGGTGATGCAGGACATTCTTGTTATATATTTATACTTATTTGATTTAGCCTGAAGATAAAGTATTTCCTAATTTAAAACCTTTAATTCAAAATATCAAATGGTCCACAGCTCTGTCCCAAAACTGCTGATGATTCGGACCAAAAAATGCCAGTGTCAGCTCAAAATGCCGTTTTCATCCCCAAACGAGCGTCTCCCTCTCCAGCAGGTGCACTGCGGGAAGCACACAGGCCACCCTGTTCTTCCCAGAAGGGTGGTGGTCGAGGTCCTCACCGCGTGCGGGTGCCCCTGGCTCCGGGCCTGTGGCCGTGAAGCGGGTGGGGTGGAGGGAGCGGCTCTCTCCCGCGGGACCTGACACCCGAGTGGGCCACAGGACAGGCCGTCTCCAGTGGGCCGCCCCCTGTGTGCAAGGCCCTGCGAGGTTCCCTCCCTCGGTGGAGACCCTCCCTTCCCAGTGGCAGGAGAGAACCGCCCGGTGCAGAGAGGCTGCACGGTGGGCCCCACGGCCGGCCGCCGTGCACAGCGGGGGTTGGAAGCCGCATAGGAGGATGAGAAAGGGCCCAGAGGCGTTCCGAGGTGGCTGCCGCCAGCTCAGAAAGGGAAGGATGGAGGAAACCGGACGAAAGAAGATCAGGACTGGCTCACCCAGGCCTGGGCCCGGTGGTCTGGGGGTGCGCCCTCCCCCACAGCCCGCCCATTCTCCCAGTGGTCCTGACCCCAGCACTCACACGCCCACCCTGCTTGGCTTTGCAGACTTCCTCCCCTCGAATCCCCCGCCTTCTAAGCAGACCTTCTGCTTCTCTGGTTACTGCTGGAAAGGGGGTCAGTTTCCTAGCTCGGGGTGGGGGTGGGGTCTTGGGAGGGAGAGGTCTGAGCACGACCCAACCACTCTCCACACTGCCCTGGGCCCTTCCTCCCCTTCCGTGCTGCCCCTCTCCACGGTGTGGTTGATGCGTGTAGATCGAAACTGAATGGATAATGGGGAGCCAGGCTCTTCCCCACTTTTTTCATTAAGCGGTTGGCCGGGCCAGAGTTTGATGGGGGAATTCGTTTTGAAATGGCCTGGGAGGCAAAATTACTTTGAAATAACTTTTGGAAGAGAAGATTTCATCCTGCTCACTCAGCACAATGCAGCAATTAACATGCTGATCTTCCTCCTCTAGGAGAGCTACCCCTGAATAATGTATGGCGTCGCCCACCTGAGGCTGCAGGGCTTTGCGGAAACGAAACGACTTTCGTGAGGGGTGGGCGAGGAGCTGCAGGCTGTCCTTGTTCACCGGGCCCCTCTCTTCCCGGAGTCGGTGTCGCCGTCCTGCCAGCTGGGGCCCCCGCCTCCCAGGCCATCTGGTGCCGTTCCAAACAATGACTGATGGAAGTGCACACGATGGGGACTGCTCTCTCTGGGCCTCAGTTTCTTGTTCTGTAAAGTGGAGACAGTCAGAGCATTGTGACACCCACAGCCCAGCTGCCTGCGGGCTTCTGTAACGTCTCAGGGAAAGCTCCCAGGCTCCAGGTACCTGCCTGGGGCCAGCGCCAGTGCCCTGCTGGCTGCACCCGTGCGTCCCCCATTCATTCTGCCCCACACACAGCCTCGCGAAGCCAGCAATACAGTGCCGGCTTTACGGTGGAGACGGGAAGAACTTTGTCTAAGACTGCAGTTAGCCGGAAGCAAGTGGAGGGTTTCCACTCTCCAAATCCATATCAGAATCTAAAACCCTGGTGTCTTGTGTGCATTGCCCGTCTTTTAAATCTTAAAAAAAATACCTTTCAATCATAGTTGACCTTCAGTATTATATTGGCTCCAGGTGTACGGCACAGTGGTTAGACATTTATATACCTATAGCGCCTCCCTGGGAGTCCAGAACCCACCTGGCACCGCGCGTAGCTATTACAATGTTACTGACTGTTCCCGGTGCTGTGCTTTACATCCCCGGCTGCCAGTCTTCATTTTGCCTCGGGAAGCTGCATTTTCCGAGGCTGCCTCCGTCAGGAGCAGCGGGAGGCCGTGGGAGGGGGAGTTCTGAAGAACGTGCCCAGCTTTCAGTAGCCATCGCCGCCCGGCTGCAGCAGAAGCCAGGCTCGTCTCCCACGGGTCTCCGCACGCTGCCAGCCGGCTCAGGTCACTACGCGGCATCGAGAGCCGTAGCTCTTGAGACTCCATGTATGGCCCTGGCCGGGTAGCGCAGTTGGCTGGAGCGTCATCCCCATTCACCCAGGTTGCGGGTTTAACCCCCAGTCGGGGCTCGTACGAGAATCAAATGAGTGTGTGAACGAGTGGAACAACGATCAGTGGTTGTCTCTCCTCCTCCCTCCCTCTCTCCAAAACTGGTTTTATAGAAAGGACTATACGTATGAGTGTAAATATATATACACACAAATGATGTTAGTGTGTGTGTGTGTGTGTGTGTGTATACGCATTTGCACCTGTGTGTGTTTCTAAGACTGCCCCTGCATTTGTTAAAAATTGTGAGGTTTTCACCGCATTAGCACAGTTGTCTAAACGAGTCCCTTCGGGTTTCTTCGCCAATAGGTCCAAAGTTACCGTGTGCAGAATGCCTGATAAAGACTGCAGTCTCACCTGGATGGGATTTTTCGGGCCCCAAGTGGTGGGAGAAGTCTTATTTCCAGAGCTACCTCCACTCACAAGAAAACAAATGCAGGGGCCACGGCCAGGCTCCTGTGTTAAGAATTCCACAGGCTAGACCTGGCTGGCATAGCTCAGTGATTGAGTGCGGGCTGCGAACCAAAGCATCGCAGGTTCGATTCCCAGTCAGGGTACATGCCTGGGTTGCAGGCCATGACCCCCAGCAACCGCACATTGATGTTTCTCTCTCTCTCTCTTCCTCCCTCCCTTCCCCCTCTAAAAATAAATAAATAAAATCTTTAAAAAATTAAAATAAACAATTGCACAGGCTTTGCATCTCTAACTGCCTCCCCCTGGCTATACACTGTCTCTTACTCTCTGGGTCAGCATTTCTGAATTGGCCAGATTTGTGGGAAAGGAGTGTGCGCAGGATGAAGAGGGGCCCCAGGTGGCGTGTGAGGGCCCAGGGTACTGGGAACCTGGGGGGCAGGGGAGCTTCGGAGTGGGGTGTGTGAGCCCCCGGCCCCACCAAGGGTGTCGGGAACGGCGGCGCGCGGGCAGAGACGCAGCCGTGGGAGCGTGGCCGCACCCTGGACGGAGAGTGGCACCGTAGCCATCGGCACCCGGCCTGTCTCTGTTTCAGGTCCCACCCGGAAGATGCCCCCGAGCGCCAGCGCCATGGACTTCTTCCAGCTCTTCGTGCCCGACAACGTCCTCAAGAACATGGTGGTGCAGACCAACATGTACGCCAAGAAGTTCCAGGAGCGCTTCGGCAGCGACGGCGCCTGGGCGGAGGTGACGCTGGCGGAGATGAAGGCCTTCCTGGGCTACGTGATCTCCACCAGCATCTCGCACTGCGAGTCGGTCCTCAGCATCTGGAGCGGCGGCTTCTACAGCAACAGGAGCCTCGCGCAGGTCATGAGCCAGGCCCGCTTCGAGAAGATCCTCAAGTACTTCCACGTGGTGGCCTTCCGCTCCAGCCAGACCACGCACGGCCTCTACAAGGTCCAGCCCTTCCTGGACTCCCTGCAGAGCGGCTTTGACGCGGCCTTCAGGCCCTCCCAAACCCAGGTGAGGCTGGTGCCGGGAGAGGCCTCCCCGGGTCCCCTCCGGCGTCCCGGGCCCGGCCCCGTGGCAGCGGAAGCTGGGAGGCAGGGGTGACCTTGGGCATCCTCCCCTTCTTGCCTCGACTCTGAAGTCATTTCAAGGTCATCCCTGCTATTCTCCCATCCCACTGGCCCCTGTAACTCAAAGGAAATTGTACGGTAACATCTCCAGACCACAGACAAGTCCAAATTCAGTGCTTCGCTCCGAGATGCCCTTTCCCTCCCCTTGCCTCCCCATCCTTCCTCTCCTGTAGTGACACTTTCATTCCAAGTTTTGTTTGCCCCAGCTAACGAGAGTTTGCTTGTCCTGTTCTCCGAGTCCGTGCTCGTCCTGTGGTGGGGGGCAGGGCAGGAGGCCCTCCAGGTGGTGAAGGGCGCGAGCCTGGGATTGCAGCCGCTCTTGGCAGCCAGGCGTTTCTGCTGCGCTGGGGTCCGTGTGGCCCACCCGGCGGGCCTGTGAGCCCAGGGACGAGGTCTGATGGAGCCCCACGCCTAACCGTTGTGGCCCCAGCACCTCCCTGCCGCCCTAACCTGTTCTAGAAGTCTCCGCTTGGCCTCTGCTGAGTCTCTGTGACACTGACCTGTGGCACGCATTTGGCCGTGGTGACAGTTTCGGAATTGTCCTCCTCGTTGCTCCGTGAGTCTAAGACACTGAGGCGGTGGCTCATTGCCGCAGGTGCTGCAGCGGAAACTTCAGGAACGTCTTGGCCCGTGTGACCCCGCCCATGTGACCCCATTTCCCTTTGACCTGTTCTGTGTGGAGACAAAATTTTACTTCGGTTTTATTTCTGCATCCAGCGACCCATCAGTCTGCCTTCTCTTCCTGTGCTTCTTCTGTAAGGGCCTTCCCAGCCTCCAGTTCTCTTTGGTTTTCTCTCCGATCTCCTTTCCCCGACTCTGTACCTCGCCCGTAGGTGGAAACCGCAGGGGCTGGGTGGGGAAGATCGCCCAGTCCGGGTTTGCCGGAGCCTTGAACGGCCCCTGCCTGTCCTCTGCTGTCCGGTGAACTGCTGGGCTCAGGGTCCTTTCCGGGTGTGTGGCGCTCCGACTCCTGGGAGGCTCCCCTCCTCTCTGCCTGGGCAGGCGCGTCTGGTCTTGGCCCAGTGTCCGGTCTCAGCCAGTGTAAGATCCATTCCCACGATCCTGTTCTCCTGCCCCCCCCACCCCCCCGCCGCCCACTGCCTCCACCGTTCACAGTCAAAGGTCATTTTGGCTTATCTCCCAATCGTGTCACTCACCTCCCCACCTGGAGGTGGGGGCGTCTGGGGTCACAAGCCCACGCTTGTAACAGGCCCCGCAGGGCCCAGTGCAGACGGGCCCATTACTGTTTGTTTCCCTGAGTATTCAGTTGGTTGGACGTGAACCCAACCAGACACCCGTTGGCTGGATGAAGGGAAAAACCAGTATTCTGGCCACGTTTGGGGTCAGACACCTGTGGGCTCCTCGAAGAGCTGCTGGAGAAGGCTGTGGGCTCGCTGTGCCCCCGAGTTTCTTTAGAATCAAAGGACCGGCCATTTGGGTGACTGGTGCTTTGCGGCCTGGAGACAAGGCGGCCTGGCTCCGAGGCAAGGGAGGCCTCGTCCCTCTGGACTCTGAGCCCGCTGTGTGCCGGCCGCCTGTGGTCTGGGCCTCGGGAGACCTAAATCCCTGGCCACTGCCCCACCTGTGTGTCCCCAGCACTCAGGGGGAGCTCTCAGGAGCCTGCAGTGCCCACCAGCAAAGTCTGAGAGTTTGGGGTTCACTCCCGCCCGGCCGTAGGCCGGTGCCCCGAGGGGCCCAGCAGCAGTCCGGAGCCCTGAGCGGGTGCCTGCCTGCAGGCACGTGTCTTAGGGGGCAGCACTGTCCCCTCCGTGGTGCACTCAGATGGGCGGTGTGCTGGGGGACAGGGGACAGGGAGACCCTGGCCACTTTATTCTGGCTGCAAACATCTTTTCTTTGCCTCCGGTTGCTGAGGCTGTGAGGGGAGGGGCCTGAGCTCATTGTGGGGCGGGGCTCCCTGGCGGTGTCCGGTGGTCGTTTTTTCCTCCCTGTCTTTTTTTTTCCCTTTATACTTAGTTTTCACCTTTGTGCCTGTGAAGTTATGTCTTCTTTTTGCTGCCGTTCTCCACCCCGTGCCCTGTTGTCGGCCGGGGCCCCACAGGAACAGTGCTCTAGAAGGAAGGCCGGAGAGGGTCGGAGGTGGGCGGGGGGGTGGCCAGGGCCCAGGGGGTGGCCAGGGTGGTGAGACAGCCCCGCTTCCACCTGGGAGGGGCAGCGAGGGCCACAGCCTGGGGACAGGCCAGAGGACATGGGCAGGGTGGGAATGGCTCTCCTGTCTCTTGCTCGTGCCTCCCACTTGGCCACGAGGACGTGGGTGCGGTTTGTGAGGGGTTGGCCCCCAGGCCACAGCACAGAGTGGGAAGGGAGAGAAGGGAGTCTGGTGGTGCACAAACACCCAGCCCAGCACACCCGCCCTCCCGACGGGTGGGAGCTGGTGGCGGAGGGAAAGTCCAGGTGCCTGGAGCCACTTCTCCCGTTGGCTGGTTACCAGATGGAATTTCCTCCTCTTCCTCCCGCCCCTGGGCCAGCAAATGGGGCTGCAAGAGCTTTTCCCTCCAGCCTCCAAGGCCTTGGTGCCTGCGTTTATTCTCCTCCCAGACAGGGAGGAGGGGTCCTCTTCTGACCCTGGAGAGGCCGGGCGCCCCAAAGCTTTCCAGGTTGCCCAGCTTTGCCCCTGCTGGGCTCCGGAACATTCGACCCAAGGGGGAGGGGATCCAGGAGTGAGTTTGGCTGCAGGTTGCCGCCTGCCGCCCGCAGGCTCGGGGCTCCCTGGCAGGGCCGTCCTGCCCCTGGTGAGGTCCCCCTGGTGAGGTCCTCTGGGTCACCTGCCCTCCATCCCTCATCAGCTGGGGGGTGGACTTGCCCCGCATCCTCTCCCTGACACTCACGGCACTGCGGGCACTCAGCACACTGGCCTGGCAGACTCCACGCACCCTCTGCCCTGTAATCCCCGGGGCCTTTCGACCCCGGCAAACGTGACCCTTTGGGATGAGTCACAACTTTTACAGTCTTCAGAAGTTAACAGCTCCCAGAATCCAGGGGTAACCCAAGCAGTCGGGTGTGCGTGTGCATGTGTGTGTGCACGTGCATGTGCATGGCTGTGCGCGTGCGCTTACACATGCAGAATGGGGAGACACCACATTTCCTCAAAATTGGGGACAGGTTAATTAGAACATCTGCAGGAGGGCTTACACAGGTACATGAAGGGGTGCTTTGTCTCTCCCCCACTCGCCCCACTGCCACACCCCGGAGTGAGCTTGTCCGACAGAGGTGCTCGGGACACACAGCTGCTGATGGACCTGCTGGCTGTCTGCGGCCTGGCGGCAGCGGAGATAGAAAAGGGGGCAGGGTTTGGGGGCTGCGGCGGGCACGCGGCTCTGGGCTGCATTCCGTCATGGCCCGTTCAGAACTCACTTACTGCCGATGAAAGAGGGAAGCCACCGTGGGGCCCAGAAATCCTTGCTGGCCCTTCCGCGCTGGCGAGCCTGTGGTTTGCAGCCGACTGCACGGTGAGTGCAGGGGGAGTGGATGTTCTGAGGATGGGAGAGGGCAGCGAAGCGCATCCCTGCGTCTCTCCTCCCCCTCTGCTCCGCTTCCCCACCGAGCCAGGCACTCGGCTGTTGTGCTAGAGTGGCTCCCGGTGGGGCTTCAGTGGTTTGTGAACCACGCAGAGCCGGTGAGTTCAGGACGCAGGCACCCCGGCACCCCGGCAGGACGCTGCCCCCCACGAGTGGGAGACAGGCCGGGCTCGTTCCGTGTGCTGGCAACGGAAAAGCCGAGGGGGCCAGTGTGCACAGCCAGGACCGAACGCTGCAGCCTGTTACGGTTTTTTCAGTGGACCCCAGGTAGCATTAGTGAGAGAATGGAAGGGTGTGGTGAGTGTTCCCCTCCCTTCCGCTCTGGGCCCGGCATGTTCTGATGCCGCCTGGGCGCTGGTGGGACAGGCGGACACGTGGGCCCTGCCCACACTTACCGCATCAGGCTCTGCGTTTTGGTCAGGTCCCCGGTGACCGGTGTGTCCGTTCTGAAGTTCGTAGGGTCCTGGCGGAGAGCAGAGGTTGGAACACTCTTTCAGTCACGGCCAGGAGGTAGAATTTTTGACGTTGTGAGCCCTCAGGTCGCTGTGTGAACTGGCCAGGTCTGCCATGGTAGCCCGAAAGCAGCCGTCCACAGGGCAGAGGTGAATGAGCGTGGCCGGTTCCAGGAAAACCGTGTGTACGTTGGGCAGAGGGGGAGGGCCAGCCCTCACCGGACCCCTGATCCGGAGCGCCCTGTAGAGTTCCTGGAACCCTGTCATTTCCTACACTCTCCATTTCAGCGAGCTACACACACACACACACCAATTCATAATTAAGTGTGAAGTCGGATCGGGGGTGGTGGGCAGTGAGTGGAGCAGGGTCCTAAAGTTTACCCAGAAGTCTCCCCAAGAAGTTTACCTTGAAGAGACAAAACTTCGGCCACCCCTTGGAGCCTGTTTTTCAAATGCTATTTCTTTTTACTTTATTGCCTTGTCACTGAAAATGTCTTCTAGCTCTGTTATCAAGAAGCTAAATTATAAAAATGATTTTTGAAATCGCCTTGGGATCCCATGTCGAGAGAACATGGTGACCCAGAGCCCGAGGGAACTGCGTCATTTCGGGAACCGGGAAAGCAGGTGGCAGGCCAGCGTGAGCACTATCTGGAATCTTGAATACCTAAACGGATAGTATGTGGGGGGTTTGTTTGTCTGTTTCTTTGTTTCTTACAGGGCAGAGGTCGGAGCAACAGGTGTGAGTTAAATGCAAGTAAATTTTGAGTGGGGGAGAGAACTTTGTAACATTCAAAGCTGTCATCTGGGAGTGGAAAGGTCTTTCGTGAGAAGAAGTGGGTGCCTGCCCCCAGGCGTGACCAGGGAGAGGGCGGGGCCTGGTGATCCCTCTACCAAGTGACAGACAGTTTTCCATTTACCCAACACCTGTCACACGCCAGGGCCTGTGCTAGGTGCTTGGCACCCAGGTGCTTACTTACGCTTCCCCAGAACTCTGGTGTAGACGCTGATGTTGCTCTGTAGTAGGGGAGGAGAGTCGGGATCAGAGAGGTAGAGTAACTCAGCCGAGGTCACACAGCTGGTCAAAGGCGGAGGCAAGGTTTGAGCCCGCATCTGGTGACCCCCGGAGCTCGCACGGCTTTCCGTGAGAACTCTGCTGCCACTTTCCCGGCAGGTGCTACACGAACCCCTGATTGACGAAGACCCTGTGTTCATTGCCACGTGCACGGAGCGGGAACTGCGCAAGAGGAAAAAGCGGAAATTCAGCCTGTGGGTCCGGCAGTGCTCGTCCACTGGCTTCATCATCCAGGTGAGCCCGGGGCCGGGGGAGGGGCCAGGGGCCGGGGGAGGGGCCAGGGCCTTGGCTCAGCGGGGTGGCTGATAAACGGCTCACCCGCCCTTTACTGTGTGTCACCCGGATATTCCAGCTGAGACTGGGGCTGGGCCGCTCCCCTCCACCCTGGGGCCCTGGGGTAGCCGGCACTGCCCCCTACATGTTCTTTCTACCCAGTCCAGCCTCTCGATTAAATAGCCTCAGTGAACACTGATCAAGACTCGGGCCCTTACAGGGTCAGCCCTCTTCACCACAATGATGGGGTGGAACGGGTGACCGCCATCTCTCCTGAGAGTGCACTTGTGGTGGGTCCAGGAGGCCCCAGTCTTGCCAGGCCCTGGTCCTGCCCTCTGGTGCTGAGAACGCCCTCCACACAGCCCCAGCCCCAGCCCCAGCCCCAGCCTGCGGGTGAAAGCAGCCCCGTCAGGAGCGTGGCCCTCCGAGCCTTGCTCCGGTCGCTCCCGGTGGACTCAGGCGCGCGTTTTCTGAGAGCCGGCCGGGCTCTGCTGCAGGACCTGTGTTAGGGTCTGAGCTAACCGGGGTGCGGGGCTCAGAAGGAGAAGGTGGGGGTGGTGACAACCAGAGGCGGCACGCCGTGATGGCTTCTCCTGTCCTGCTGCCGCCCGGCACCTGCCCCACCGGTCACAGCTGAGCCCGCCTCGGTGCCCTTGCCTGGCTGCAGCCCCAGGTCCAAGGCACGGGGGTTCGGCGCTCCCCTCCCCCAGAGCTGGACATGGATCCCCAGGAAGACTCGGCCAAGCAGCTCCGCACCCCGTTCGCTCAGAGCTGCAGCAAGCCAAGTGCACGTTCTAGGTAGCTGTCTCTGCTCAGAGGCACCGTCCGCCTGCCGCCTGCGGACCTGGTGGCCTTTAGTTTGGGCTGGGCCAGGGCCTCCTGCCGGACCCCGGCCCGAGGCAGCTGGTGCACAGATGTCCAGCAGTTGCCAGGGCGGACCTGTCCCAGAGCTGATTCACTCCGAGCTTCCAGTGACCCCTGCCACCTCTGTAGTGTCCTTTGCAGGGACCCTCCATGGGGACGGGAGTCGGGTTCACTTCATATAGAGCCCCTCCCGAGGAACAGACACTGTGCGAATAAGCACCTCGGAGTGCCTGTCGCCCGCGGCGCTGTGCCAGGCAACGCTGCGTGGCGTTTGGGTCCGAGTTCGAGTGCAGGTTCTGTGCACACCCAGCACCGTTCCTTCGCGCCGGAAACTTGCCCAGGAGCCAGAAGTCTCGCCCCCTTGGCAGGGGTGGAACTCAGCGCTGGAGCGCCAGCTGCGAAACCTGTCTTTTACCCGGCTAGGCCCCACCTCCCTCTCTCAGTGCGGGCTCTTCCCAGCGTCTACAAAACCTATCAAACCCTACCTGCAAAATAAAGCCCTACCGACAAAACGCTTGGGTTGGCACCTCCACGTTTCCTTTCATTTGTGAAACTCTGATTCTAGGAGGCTTTGCAGCAGCGTGCGAGTTTGCCCTGAGCAGCCAGTCGGAGCTGGCAGACCCCAGTCGGAAGCAGTCCTGGCTCTCCGTGGTCGCCGGGGCCGACATCACACACCTGTGCGCAGCTGCAGGCTGTCCGCCAACGGGGGTGTTGGGGAGCCTCCCTGCCTCCAGGCCACCTCTTTGCCCCTGGGTGGTCCCGCTGAAGGTGCCGCTGGTGGGCAGCAAAGCAGGGAGGGCACCCGTGCCGGGGAGGAGCCAGGAGACACTAAGAAGGAGCAGCATGGCCTGGGGACAGTTGTCTTTTCAGTGTCACGCCCCTCTGGGCTCTCCAGGTCCTGATCCTGGTCTGAAAGGGAGCCGCGTGGGCAAGGACGGGGGCATGAGACACAGGATGGAGCCGTCACACCTGCCTCTCCCGAATCTGTCGGCCTGTGAGGGAAGGTTTCCCGGATGAGGCGGCTCAGGCTTGCACGGGTGATGCTGCTTCCGTCCTGGGACCCCGGTCACCCCTCCCCTCCCTGGTCCTGAGGGGCAGCAGCAGTCCGCACGCCTGCTGCTTCCCGTGCGACCGTAGCCGGTCCCCAGAATTGCCCAGGTGGCCGTGTCCTGTCTGCAGCGTGAAGGGCTGGGGTAAACGCGCCAGGGAGGCCCCTCCCACTGCCAGCGTCTGCTCTTCTCTCTGTAAGCGTCACACGTGGGTTGTACACCCACGAACACCTCTTTCGTTCTAGTTCGTCAAATCCATTCTTCTTCTCAATGACTTTTCGCTGGAGAAGCCCGGTTGCTAAGCCGCAAAGGGACGGGGGCCAGCTCTCCCTGTGCTGTGCCGGCTCGCCCTCACTCCCCGCCAGCCCGGACTTTCCGGCTTTGCCCCCGACTGACAGCAGGCCTCAGGGTGTGCTCGTTCACTTCGGGTGTCCGCTTGGCCAGGCCACGGCACCTAGACACGTGGTCAACCATTATTTCGGGTGTTTCTTTGAAACCGTTGTTTTAGGTGAGATTTCCACGTACATCGGTGGGCTCTGAGCACAGCAGCGACCCTCCAGAGTGAGGGGGGCCTCATGCGATCCATTGAAGCCTCAGCGGAAGGAGACCAAGGCCCCCAGGAAGAGGGACTTCCGCCAGCAGGCTGCCTTTGGGTCTGAACTGCAACCCTCCCCTGGGCCTCCAGGCTGCTGGCCCGCCCTGCGGGTTTTGCATTTACCAGCCTCCTTAATCACGTGAGCCGTTCCTTAAAACAAACGTCTGGCCATGGACGGAAGAGTCAGTCGGTCGGTCTCAATATACCTCCATCCCGTTGGTTCTGCTGCGGGGGGATTTCCCGGCGCCCACCCGGCCTGCGTGGCCCGGCTGTTTCTCAGGCTCCCCGCCAGCACTCGCCCCAGATTCTGAGCTAGGGGGCGGGACGGTGGCGTCTTCAGCTTCACCTTTCCAGAGCCTAGAGGGCTTTCTGGTTTTTTGCGGGGGGGGGTCTTTTTTCTTTTTAATAATTGAAGTCCAAGACAGGTTCCTGTTACTGAGGGATTTACAAAATAGGTAGGAGGGTAAGAACTCTGCCAACAAAACCCTATGTACAAGTGGTTTTTTAACCACACTGTCATGGAGTTAGCGTCATCCTTGGCCTTGAAGACCCAGAGGTAAACGGAGCCCTCGCTGCCTGGCTGGCAGGAGAGACAGAGGCATTGAACATATTCATCCACAGTGTGGTGGGTGCAGGACCAGAGCTGTGTGTGGAGTGTCATGGGCTGAAGGGGGCCACCTGTGGGCTGGGGAAAGCCCCCCAGGGTGCACAGGACAGGACATGCGATGTGCTAGGGAAGGGGGTGACCTGTGACTGCAGGGGCTGGGGGGATAGGACAGTAGCCAGTGTCACTCACCGCAGGCCAGACACGGACACGCCCACGGAGCACCATGCAGCCCTCCAGGAGTGTCTTGCTGTGCTTCCTTTGCACGTGGGGAGACGGGAGCTCCCAGTGTTTACGCCATTTACCCCAAATCTCAAGTCTGACAGACGTCCGAGCAGAAATCAGAGCCAAAGGGCTGCTGGCCCCTCCCCCAGCCTGCCAGCCCAGCCCCCGGGGCCCCTCCGCGAGGGTGGAGGAGACGCACAGCCACCAGCTCAGGAGCGGGCACGTCGGAGCGCATTACTGTATTTGGAGCACGGATGTCCACGTGGAGTGTCCTGTGAGCCGCCTCTGAGGGCCCCCTTCCGGAGAACCGGGTGGCCTGCGGGGTGTTTCTGCCCACACTGGAAATCATCGGGGCTGATGAAGGCGCCTTTCCCCGCCGACGGGCCCACCCTGGGCATGCACGTCAGCCGTCTCGTGGAGGGTCTTCAGGCTCTGACTCTGGGTTTGGTAGCAGCGGAGCCACAGGCTGGGGGTCGCTTACACAGCGAGGCTCTGGCGCTCCTGAGATGTTCCTGCGTCTCGGGCACGAACACATTGTGCTGCCTGAGACCGCGGCTGGTGCCTTCTTTTCCTGGCGTCGTGACCACTGCCATCCCCAGGTCAGATGCGTACGGTGCACTCGAGACGTCCTGGTCTATGTCGCAGGCCTGCCAGGATCTGTCCCCAACCCCAGCACACCCTGCAGCTCTGTTTGCAGAGGGTGTCTAAGGAGAGCTAGCCAGGGTCCCTGCCTGTCCCCTCCTCTGCAGCCTCCCTTGGTCGCTGAGGAGGAATGGAAGGAGAGAATCACACGGGAGATGAAACTTCTGGTCCTCGGGGAAAGGTGTGTAGTGGAGAGGATAAAACTCCTTCGTCTGAGGTGCTGAGGCTGCACTTCTTGGAAACCCTGCGGCCTTTCTTGTGGGGTCGAAAGGAGACCGTCGTCTGGAGGGACCGTTGTTCTGTCTGTACAAAGTGTCACAGAGATTGAGAATCCAGTGGGAGCAAACTCCACAGTTCAGTTCACGTGTTGGTGCCTGGTGACTCCACGGAGCCCCGAGAGTCTTTGGGAGCAAAGAAAAGGGCCCACTAATTTCAACAACAAGGAAACTCATGCAAGCCACGAAGGCAGGTTCCTCCTGCTTGAATGTGCCGAACGGGGCCGCCTGCCTCCTGGGTTCCCAGCGGGGGAGGGATGCTGGCAGGGGAGCAGGGGCCAGTGAGCGCCCCGAGGGGGAGCCGTAAGGGACATGGGGATGCTCCGCTGAAGAAAGACAGACCCGGCCCAGGGGGCTGAGTGGCTGTCGTGTGGAGCGGGGCAGAACCACGCCCATGGCCACCGCCGTTGCTCGCTCAGTGAGGCGACCTGCTCTGGAGGGGGTGGGGCTTCAGCAGCCGGGATTGAAACGGGAACTCCCGCGTGCTCTACCCCCGAGTGTGCACTCAGCGCGTCCAGCAGCGCCCAGGTGGGTGTCCTCCAGGGGCGCTCTGAACGAGGTCCCTGCCCCGTGCCGCTGGACCAGCTGACCTGGAAGCTCCTCTCCTCCCTCGACTCCCATCTGTGAGTCCCCCATCCGTGGCTTCCGGGGTTCAGAAAAGGATCATTGACAGCCGTGGGGTGCCTGGCTCCCTCCGCACACTGTTCATTTCCACAACGCCGTTATGAGCGAGCCGTGTTCTGCTTCTACTTCATAGAGGGAAACCGAGGCACACAGAGGTGAGCTCCTTTGCCTGAAGTCTCAGCCACAAAGCGATAGACGATCTGACCCAGGCTTTCTGACCCCAGAGCCTTAACCAGTAGGCTGTGTTCTCCCCCAGGGAGAGAATTTTTCTCCCTGGATATAAGATCCAGTGTCTGGTTCTCACCCAAGTTCACTGCTGTTGGTTGGTGTTCTTGCGTCAGCTGTCACTGATCTCCCTCATTGTGAGACACACTTTTTATGTTGAAAGAACCCAAGGAATAGGCAATGAAGTTTTTGTTTATTTGACTTTGAACCTTTTCTTATTCACTACGTGAAAGAAATCTGTCGCTCCTGATCCGTAACTAACTGGATGAGCTTGGAAAGTGAGGCTCGGAGTGGAATTCGTGAACTAGAGTGAATGTTGCTTGTGGAGTCGCACGCGGGCAGGGCCCGTATTGGTCCATCTGCTCAGTTGTGCGGTGGCCAGGGCGCCAGCTCTAGTTTTTTCCAGGTTGGACGCGGTTATGTCACAGGATGGAATCGGCGGGGGTACAGGACATCTGTCACGGGCTTCCCCGGGTGTCTCGGAGGAGGCAGCTGAGAACCAGTCTCTTCCTCAGTCTTTTGAATGGGGTAATTTGCCCACAATTGACCACATAGGGATTCAGGGGCGACAATCAAGTGCTACTAAGCGCCCGTAGAAGTGAGCCGGGCAGTGACTGGCTCAGATTATAAACCCTGGCCCTCGCCCCAAGGACCTAGAATCCGTGACCGCCCCGACGTGGGTGGGTGCGAGGAGCTCACAGGAAGGCAGCCCCCTCGCCCCCGCCAGCCTGTCACTTGGAAGGACAGCCCCACTGGGACTTGAGCTGCGGTGGAGCGGAAGCAGAGGTCTCGCTCGGCCGTTGGTGCTGAAGGAGCCGCTGGGGAAGGGAGGGCAGAGAACGGTCCCCAGGCACCGGCCCTGCCTGGCCGTGGCCGAGGTTAAGGGGCAGCGTGAGAGGACCAGCAGTGAGTGTCATCGTGCGGCGGTGGCTTGGGGACTGGGCTGGAAAACCAGGCCGAGGGGTCCCGGAAGGCGCAGAGCCCCGCCGCCCCGCAGAGCTGACGGGGACGGACGCCCGGTGTCTGCAGCTGCACCGCGGTGGCCACTGGTCGCGGTGGCTGTCGAGTACTCGGGATGTGACGAGTGTGACCGAGGAGCTGGGGTTTTCAGTGTGCTCGGCGTTAGCCGATTCACACCAAACTGGCCACACGAGTCTCGTCCAGTCTGGGGTTTCGCCATTAAAAAGCCATTTCTCCGTACGCAACTTCCACTCAAAGTCGAGGGCCTTGCCGGGTGCGTAGTGTTCTTATCCTTGCAAGTCAGGACGTTGGTGCTCAGAGCCACTGAGTAACTTGCCCCAGAGCACTCAGGCCGGTGGGTGACAGCGCCATGCCCACCGGCCCCAGCGCTCACCCACTGCCCGCTGTCTCCTTGGGGGGGACTCGCTGCTCTCACGGCAAGCGAGCGCCACTTAAGTTTTGCAGTTCCCGTGAGCGGCCCCCAGGTGTCCCAGGCCGCAGCCCCGCACACCTCCGTGAGCTTGTTGTACGTCATTTCGGTGAGATGGTCACTCTTGCGCTGTGCCTCCGGCTGGAAGTGCCCCCTCCACCTGCTGCCCCCACAGCTAGCAAGCAGAACGTTCAAGCCAAGGATGACAGTCCCTAAGGAGTGACTTGCCCGACCCCAGATGTGCCCAAAGCCCGATGACTCTCTTCTGTTCTGAAAGAACAGGTTTTCCCCGAAGACGTGGGGGGTGGGGAGGGGGCACCAAAGGCCCAGTGACAGCTTTGTGGGAGTCTCAGCTGGCATCTCTGAAGGACCTTCAGTGTCGCAGCTGTCGTGGGTGTTTTCCGACAGACGGGGGTGGGGCGAGGGAGACGGAGCCAGGCCGCTCTCGGGGTCTCGGGGCACGCGAGCAGTAAGGCTGAGACCGCAGTTGTGTGTGACCCGCGCCCCCAGGCATTGCCACGGTAGCCCCCACCGCGTAAGGTTCTGTCTGTTAGGACGTGACCGTGAAATACACTCTGCTGGTGACCCCATCCTGGTGCCAAGTGTGATCTCCCACCGAAAACTTCTCTCCCCTCACGGTCTGCATCTAGGCATCTCAAAGCCAATCATTCGTAGCCCGTAAAACTGGTTTTAGGAAAAGTGAAAAGCTTGGCAACTGAAAGACACGATTTTCTGCCTTAAAGACGCTGGTCAAACCAGCTCGTGGCTCAGATGGTAGAAGCATCTGCGGCAGATTCCGAGCACCCAGGGACGGGCGGTGTTCAGCGCCATGCTGCTCTCCCTAGTCGTGCGGGGGCGGGGGTGTGGGGGGTGTGGGGGCAGAGGACTTTCCGCAGAGCAGACCGGCCAGCAGCCATGCAGGGAAGTGAAGGGCGTCTCCTTTAGCAGTGCTCCCGGGAGTTCTGACAGAACGTGCAGCCCGCGTGTGTCTGAGTGTGTGAGTGTGTGTGTGTGTGCAGGGATGTGGCCTCGCCCAGATCCACTCTGCACACAGCAGCTATTCGCGCATCCTCAGCAGCTGTGGCAGTTGGGAGGAGATTGCGTTGGGAGTCCTGATGTTTCTTACGGGGTGATAGGTGTACTCATGCAGTCGACACCCTGGACCAGCCGAAGTCACTCGGTCAGAGCAGAGGCAGGGCAGCGGGATGCTGGGCGAGGGGCCGCCAGGCCAAGCCCGGTTTGCACGGCCCGTGAATGCTTCCTTGTGAATTGTGCCCCTTGGCTGGGACTTTTGAGGTTGCTAGGTTTTTACGTTACCTGTGTAACGTAGATCTTACTTTATCTTGATTTTAAAAAGAAACTCACTATTGGGGAGTTCTGAGCGCCACTAGTTGGGAACCCTCTCTGGACTCTCATGGCTGCCGCTGTGGACCTCAGCCGTCCTGCAGATTTCCCAGGAGGAACCAGAGAGCTCTGAGTCCCTCCAGCCGCAGTCTGTGGGTCTGAGACGGGAGGGGACCGGCTGGAGCCTGGGGAAGTGCCGTGCTCAGACGCGCTCCTGTGGGCAAACTGAGACGGCCCTGCAATGCGACTGCATGCCATTGGCTCGGGGGAAGCGTGTTCTCCCCAGGAGAGCGAGAGGCGGGCCGCGCCTGCTCCTCCCTCCTTGCGGGTGCTTAATGCAGCGCGAACTAACAGTAACAGCCTTGGACCGGGACTGTCCCGGATGCCAGGAGTCCCAGACACACCCGCGCAGAGCTCTGCCAATAAGCGGGTGTCCTTTCAGCCTCTAAGTGTGTGACAGTTTCTTATGCAGCAAAAAGCCAGCATGTGCCCGGCATTTCTACCTGTGAGCGGGGATTTCTGTACAGAAACGGCAAACCCCAGCAGGGGCCTCCAGGTGTGTGAGGAGAGGACCGCCGTGTGCGTTAACGTAGAGATTATTCGTTGCGCTGGATGTTCCGCAGTATCATAACCAGGAGCAGGGTTTCTGGTTCCAGTCTGCCTCGGCCATGTGACCTTGACTCAAGTACCAAATCTAGTCGCTGTTCCTCCGCCAGGCTGTGGGACCTCCTGGACTGGTTCCTCCTTTCTGACAGTTCTACCCCATTTCCTCCCCTCTTCTGGCCCCTCCTGCCTCCCTGTCACTTCTCCGTGAGCCCCTCCTCTGTAGCCCGTGCCCCTCACGGCCGGGGACCCCGGGAGGCTGGCTCGGATTGGGGCGCAGAGAAGCAAAGGGGAAGGATGGGAGCCGCGCCAGGAGCCCGCTGACCGCTGTGTGTGTTTCTGTTCAAGATTTACGTCCACCTGAAGGAAGGCGGGGGCCCCGACGGGCTGGACGCGCTGAAGAACAAGCCCCAGCTGCACGGCATGGTGGCCCGGAGCCTGTGCCGGAACGCGGCCGGCAAGAACTACATCATCTTCACGGGGCCCAGCATCACCAGCCTGACCCTGTTCGAAGAGTTCGAAAAGCAAGGTTTGTCGGGGGCGAGCCCAGCCCCCTGCCCTGGGAGGTGGCGGGAGGGGCCGGGGGTGCCAGAGTGTGGTGGCCAGCACAGACCATGGCGAGGAGGCCTTCCCCCAGGGAACGGGGCACCCAAGCCTGCAGTGGGCACTGCGACCCTGGGCCCCAGGGACCCGGCCACCGGCTCTCGGTCTGGGGGACGCGTCAGCACAGAGCTCTGCGCAGGCGTCAGGGCACGTTTCCTTGTGTCCTTGCTGTGAGGCGGTGGAAGGAGTCTGTTTGTGTCCTGGTCCGCTCGAGCTGCCGGCACGAGCTGCCGCAGAGCAGGTGGCCTATGACCAACGGCCATTCATTGCACACCGTTCTGGAGGCTGGAGGTCCAGGACCAGGGCGCCAGCGCGGTCGGCTGAGGGTCCCCTTCCTGGTCCTAGAGGGTGCCGTCTCTGTCCTCAGGTGGTGGCAGGGTGGGGGCGGTCTGGGTGGTGCCAGTCCCGTCCTGCAGGTGGCATGCTCATGAGCAAAGCCCCTCCCAAACGCCCCACTTCCTAATGCCCCTACACCACGTTGGGCATTAAGGTTTTGGCGCAGGAGTTTGGGGTTGGGGGGCACACACACTCAGCCTGTCGCACGGGGCACAGCCCCTCCCAGGTTGCTAGGGAGTCTGAACTCAGCCCCATCTGTAACGGGGCCCGTGCAGTCGGCAGACGGGTAGATGCTGCAGACAATCATGTGGATCGACGCAGGTGCGGTACAGCCGGCCTCGGGAAGGTCTTCCCTGTGTGCTGAGATGCCCGGGCCATTTTTGGCAAAGATGGGCCGGCCTTCTGCGGCTCTGGCAGAAACAGGAGCTGGAGCGACAGGTCTGGGCCAAGTCAGGAAGCCTGGTGGTGGCGTTTGCCTTTGCCTCGTCCTGCACATGGGGATGTCTGTCTAGCCTGCTCAGGAGAAACACGAAAAGCCCCCGCTCAGCTGTGGGAGCCGCCGAACTGCAGACCCACTGCTTAGCCACAGACCAGACATCTGGCCTTAGAATGAAAGACGCGCGAGTGAGAGGGAGCTGACAGCTCCGGGACCCGGCAGCCTCGGCGAGCAGCAGCCCAGGACCGTGCGCTCCTGCCGGCTGGCACACGTGTGCCGGGGCGGGCCGGCGTGGTGCGGCTGAGGACGCCACAGGACCACCACGGGCCACCTGTGGTTCTCGGGGGAAGGGGTCGCCTGCCAGCTCAGGAGGCTGGGGGAGGTTGGAGGAGAGTCTTCCAGTGAGAAAATAGACTCGGGAGGTGAGGTTTTCTAAGAGTGGGCAAAGATTCCATTGCCTGTTTTTTAGAAGCACCTAAAGCTGTGGGCCCTTCCTGGGACCCCATGGGCCTCACCTGCGATGTGAGCACCTGGGGTGGTGATCCTCCGTCCGCAGTGGCCGTGCTGACGGCTGCCCTCACCCCAGGACGCTGGCCTCCTTGGTCTGCTGTCTCCCCAGGAGATTGTAATTCCAGGTCCACACTGCAGGGGGAGCCCTACTGGAGCCTCCAGTGGCCCCTGCTTGGGCGCACATGGTTTACAGCCAGTGAACATGTTTATGAAATAACTGCTGTTTCCACAAAGGGACAGGTTCAGGACGACTTGGCTGCCGCTGGGCTTTCTTTCTTCTCCCCCCACCGAGGGAAGAGGCAGCTGGCGCGCCCCCAGTGCAGGTGGGCGGTGCGGAACGTCCTCGCCTGCTGCGGCGAGTCTTCCTCCCGGATTTGAAAACACACTCCTCTTCTTCAGTCTGGGGGGCGGAGCAGTCTGGGTAGTTCTGTCTGCAGAGGATCAAGCCGCAGGGCGCCCTCTCCCTTTGGGACCCCAACCGCTGGGAGTCTCCCCCCGGACACTGTTGCTGCTCAGGGAGGAAAGGAACCCCCCGAGTCCTCCGGCCTGGGGTGGGGGTCAGTGACGGGCGCTGATGGGAACAACACTGTGTCGGCCTCCAGTGGGCGGAGAGGAGAGTAAAGGACAGGACTGTCCCCAGGTGGTCAGTCAGAGTGTCACCTCCTGGCACCCAGACTGAGGACACAGGCTTTGGGGAGGAGGGAGACTTTCCCACGGCCGTCTGTGGCCGCCTGGCCCACCGGGCCCCTGAGCAGGGGGACGGAGAAGGGCCTGGAGCCCAAGGCGGAACTCAGGGCCCTCCTGTTCCTACTGGTCTCCGTCCACAGTCCCGCCCCCACGGGACCTTCTGGGGCTTAGGGGCCACGCTCAGGCCCTTCTCCCTCAGGAGTCTCCTCCTCCCGCTCTGCTCTTTGGGCTCACAGGCGGGCGCGGGCTCAGTGCATGTTGTCTGGGACTCCTCCCTCTGCTGGGTTTGACTTCTCTCCCACCCAAGGGGATGGGGCCCCTGGGTGCCGTGCTGACAGGACAGGGCGGGCCCTCGGCCGGTCAGGTCTTGGTGACGGTGTTAGGGTGACTTAACCGTGGCCGGGTTTGGAGCTCAGCGTTGCCCTCCAGCCATGGGGCGGGCGGCAGTTCCTCTTCTGTGGTGCGGGGTGACAACGGGAGTCCGGAAGTTTCTAGAAGCGGAAGGAATGGCAGGTGCACCTGTTTAGTGGGCGCTCTGGCAGTGAGAGCTCCTGTGTACTGTTGCTTTCTTGCATACGTCACGGTCTTACACGTAGCCTCCCGCAGACTGCGCACGTTCTGGGGAGACTTCGCGTCTGGGAGAGGAGGCCCAGACATCAGCAGTCTCTCCCAGAGGAACTTCTACAGGGCCGGTCTCCCGCACCCCGGTCTCAGACGGGCAGTCCCCTCCTGTCCCCCAGCATTCCCGTGGCCGGGGGGCCTCTAGGGTCTCCGATGACACCCGTGCCGTTTTGTGTCCCTGTCCCCACCAGGGATTTACTGCTGCGGCCTGCTCAGCTCCAGGAAGAGCGACTGCACTGGGCTGCCCCTGTCCATGCTGACCAACCCGGCCACGCCGCCCGCCCGGGGCCAGCACCGCATCAAGATGAAGGGCAACATGTCTCTGATCTGCTGGTACAACAAGGGGCACTTCCGCTTCCTCACCAACGCCTACTCGCCGGTGCAGCAAGGTGGGGACCCCCGCCGTGTGTGCGTGGGGGGTTGGGTGAGCGTGAGCGAGACGCAGGGAGGGTGAGTCAGGTCCTGTTCGTCCGCAGCACTGGGGTCCCGCCCGCCCTGTCCCACGAGGGGGCCAGGCTGCAGGCTGTAGCTCGGCCCCGAGCCAGCTGTCTGGAGAAGCAGCGATGGTGGGATCTGCAGGGGCCCGGGGCCGCCTCCCTCCTGCAGCTCCCCCCGGCAGACGTGGGGTCCGGTGCCTGGCCGTGTTTGCATGGCCTTACATCATCACTACCACCCAGCATTCTGTCCAAATCCATTCCGGTGGAGAGGGAAAGTCAGCTGTTCTTGTCTTTCCGTTTCCACCTTCGAAATTAACCGCTTGCTCTGGAATTTTCGGGTTTTCAGTTGACCTTGTCGTTAATTTTCCTTGTGATTGAAAGTCCATCGCTAACAGAGGGTTTATTTAGCAAGGAGTCTCCATTTAAAGTAACCACAGCTAAGACGTTACTAAACTGCTGAAAAGGCGACTGAAATGACTCAGGGACACGTCACAAAAATATTTACAGCCGGGCAGTGTGTTTGAAAAGTCCCCGTGCTCCTTCCTGTCAGGGCTCCTTCCTCGTCCCTCCTGAGGGGGCCCCGCCGAGGGGCTCAGTTGTGTGCACGCGCACATGCGTGGTGTGTGCGTGGTGTGGGTTTGGTGTGTGCATGCATGCAGGATATGTGTGTCACATTGGTATGTGTGTGGCATGTGCATTGTGGGATGTGTGTGCATGTGTGTGGTGTGTGCATGCATGCAGGATGTGTGTGTCACGTTGGTGTGTGTGTGGCATGTGCATTGTGTGATGCATGTGTGTGGTGTGTGTGGTATATGCATGTGTATGTGCTGTGTGTGTATGTGGGGGGTGTTTAATGTCTGTTGTCATTTTTTCCCATTCCTTACCGCCCCCCCCACACACACACAGAAGTGACCAGACGATTACGGGACTGAGCACACGGGCGTCTTTGTGTCCCGCAAGGTTAGAGGGTGTGGGACCGCTCTCGTGAGCTCCGTCAAGGGCACTTAGAGGGAGTGCTTGGAAGTGACCTTGGGAGCTGAAGGCGAGCATTTGAATTGGGCTCTTATTCTACGGGTTGGGGGCTGGTGCAGGGCAAGGACGATTTTAGGGACCCATTGGGGAGCAGGGTGCAGGGGCTGCTTCTCACCAAACTGTCGTAAGTGCTAATCTCAGAAAATATGTCCCAAAGCAGGACATGGCACTTCCTGAGCTGGGTGGCACAGGGTAACAGAGGGAAGACTACATCTGGGGAGGCTGGGAAGCAGCGCGCAGTAGGACTTCAGAGGACAGGTCTTAAAGCCACAATATCAAGGGTTAGGCCCCTTAAATCAAGGGAACAAGTAAGGAGGACATTGATGGGGAAGAAGAGCTGATTTTTAAATACACTGCAACTTCGTGTTTGTGTGGAATTCACTTAGAGTTTCCCTTCCTAAAGGACTTGTGAATCATAACGTCCCTAAACCTGCAGTGTGCCCACAGCATCGCCACACACTCACCCGGAGGACCAGGGCTCCTCTGGGGCCCTGGGCGTGGTCCCCGGGGGAGTGTGGGTACCTGGGATGGGGGGTTGGGGGGATGGAGGAAAGGGCTGGGGGCGGAGACTCCCCACTGGAGGGCTGAGGGGCCCCCTGCTCCTCCCCCTGGAAATCCCTGCCCCTCCCCCGCAGCTCTGAGGCTTTTGGTTCAATGAAGAGGGTTGTCCTTTCTGCATACAGCAAAACCACGATGTTTTAAAACCACCTTGCATTTCATTCTAATTGTCATCATTTCTGTATCTCGCCCCTGTCAGTGGTTGATTTTTTACAGCATGAATAGTGATGGGGATAGTGATGGGGTGAGCATCCGCACACCCAAACCTTTGCGTGCGTCTGCGGTCACTTCCTCAAGATGAGTCTGCAGGTGGGGTGTCCGGGTCGAGGGGCCTGAGTGCTGACGGCTTTGGGGAGGGGACAAAGGTCGTGTGTGCCGCCGCGACAGGCCATGGGGGCCCCGCCTTCCTTCCTTCGTGTTCTTCAGGTTTTTCTTGTGAGGTCTTTGTCTTATTGACTTGGAAGCAAATTTTAGCCCTATAGAAAATATTTTTCTGTGTTTGTTTTTCTTGTCATTTGTGGTTAGTATTTTTTAAAGATTTTATTTATTTATTTTTAGAGAGGGAAGGGAGGGAGAAAGAGAGAGAGAGAAACATCAATGTGCGGTTGCTGGGGGTTATGGCCTGCAACCCAGGCATGTGCCCTGACTGGGAATCGAACCTGCAACACTTTGGTTCGAAGCCCACACTCAGTCCATTGAGCTATGCCAGCCAGGGCCCTGGTTAGTATTTTTAACATAAAAATAGTTTTTCATTTCTGAGTACGCAAGTCTGTTCATCTAGTTCTTTGCTCTCAAACTTTAGGTGTCTCTGCTCTGTCCCAAGGTGGGTGTGAGTGTACGTATGTGGTGTGTGTGTGTGGACAGGCAGGTGTGAGTGTGTGTGCATGGCGTGTGTGGACAGGCAGGTGTGAGTGTGCATGGTGTGTGGACAGGCAAGTGTGTGTGTGTGTGGTATGTGTGTGGACAGGCAGGTGTGAGTTCATCTGCTCGTTTTATACGGCACTTTGTGCTCTGCAGAGTGATCCACTTTACATTCACCTGGGTGCTTGGCATCAGTGGGAACTTCTGTATATTTTTTATTAAGTACACGGGTTGGTTGACCAGGCAGCCCCACTGCTGGGCCCGAACCCTCATTGAATAAATCGTCTTTCCCTGCTTACTTTAAATGTCATCCAGCTGGTAAGAGCTCATGGGTTCTAAAGACCCTTTCTCAGATTTAGTTTGTGGCATGTACACTCTTCTGAAACCTGACAGAATTTCCAGTTTTAGAAAATGTTTAGGAACATTTTTGGACTCAGTTTATTGTTCTCTAGAATCTAAGGAAACAGGAAGCGTCTTCCAGAGAGTGTGAGCAGGTGCACAGGCTTTTTAAGACTTATACATTGTCGCATGTCTAGGACTAAGTCTTTTGCCTTTCTCCTGAAACCCCCTCCGATTTCCGGAGCAGAGTCCCCGCCCACTTTGGGTTCAGAGGTCAGGAGACGGATTCGCCCCAGGACGCCTGCCCAGGACCCCGCCTCGGCTCGTGGCTCCTTCAGACTCAGGGAAGGGCGGCGGGGTGTCGGCCAAGCCACAGGTAGCCCGTGGGGGTGGTGGACAGAGCCGCTGGGATGTCGAAGACCCGGGGTCAGATAACCCTCTGGTGGCCCAGAGGTGGTCACGTGGGGCACAGCTGTGACGCAGGTTCACACGGAGCTGCAGAGGCACGGGGTCCGCCCAGGGGCCTGCGGGCCCTATGGGTGTCACTCCCAGGTGTGACACCAGCAAAGACAGGAAACGCCAGGTAACCTCTTGTCAGCATCTGCTCTGTCTAAAGACCTTTGGGCCTCAGAAAAGGTGATTACAGGACAGTCACCTTTCCCTTCTCAGATGGAACACTATCTCGAAATGCCAGGTGTCACCACGGAGGAGGGTGACCTGGGTTATAAGCTGGGGGACTGCTCGGGGACACGGAGCGCACCGGGGTTCTGAAGCCGCTCTCCTGAGATTCCAAGCTGAACTCTCGGGTGTCGAGTTAAAAGGAACGAGAGCAATGGGAAGGCGGTCTCCGTGGCTGGGCACGTGGGGACGGTGGCCGTCCAGAGCTGCCGCCCTGGCCGTGCGGAGGCCAGGAGGCCGGAGTTGCAGTTTTGGGGAGCCCCAGGGACCCGGCCACTCTGGGGTCTGTCCTGGGAGAGGAAGCCCGACCCCCCAGAACTGCGGGGACTCAGAGCAAACAGGGCTTGTTTGTTGACAGGGTGGTCTGACCTGCTCACACCCGCGTGGACTTGTGGGGGGGGCTCTAACTCGGCCTCCGTAGCCCCAGAAGATGCTGGAATTGAACGTCAGACAAGCTAAAACGGATCTGGGATGGGGAACCTGCCAGGCCTGGGTCTCGAGGACGAGGCGGGGACGTTCCCCCCCAGGCCTGGGCGGGAGGTGGGGCTGGGTGGCTGAGGTGAGAGACAGGGAACAGGTGTCCCCAGGAAGAGTGCTGGAGAGAGACAGCCCTCCTTGGAGGCAGCGGGACACCTGGGGCTGCTGGGGAGCTCGGCCTGGGAGACCCCCTTGAGGCCGGATCACCTGACGACAGAGCCTCTTTGGGCAGAGAGGAGCCCAGAGCCCTCGGGCCGGGCGGAGGCCTCTGGTCTGGGCACGGCTGGCCCTCAGCTGTAGGAACGCACTGCCGGCCCTGCCCCAGGCCTCTGAGGCCAGGCCGCTAGCGGCGGGGCCCAGGCGGCTCAACCCCTGACCAGCTCTCTGGGGGGTTCTTTAGAGTGAAAACCCAGTGTGTGCTGGTGGGCAGGGGGCAGAAAGGAAAAGAAGAGAAAGCTCCCCTCCCAGGACTCAGCCTGTGCAGAGAGATCTCTACCACCCTCTCAGTAAGGGTGGGCAGGGGGCACCCCGATAAAGCCCCTTGTGCTGCAAGGGACCTGCCGTGTCTCCTTCAGCGGAGTCCATTTCAGTGGGGCTGATGTTTCCCAGACCTTTGAACTGACCCCTTACAAGAAGGACACGGGCACTGGCCTCACCAGCGCACCCTGCCGGGGGAGGTGGGCAGAGGGACGGCCTGGGAGTCCCGGCCACCTGAGCACATGGAGTGGGTTGGAGGACAGCACCCTGCAGCGGGTGCTCTGGGCTCCCACCCCTGGCAGCGGGACCTGGGACTTGCCAGGGGCTGGGCTTGGCGGCACCCCTGGGATCCTGTCCCCTTTCCGTGTGGTGGCGGGATGGACATGGACTGCATGTGTGTGAGCGGAGTGTCAGGGGCTGCGAAGGGTACTTTCCATCACTGAGGCCACAGGGGCCCCGGAAGTCCCGGGAGGCATGACAGACAGGGCTGACCCTGGGGGGCGAGGTACCTCCTTGTTCCTCGGAGCCTCGAATGCCACCTTCTTTGGCGGAGGGAGGTAGAGCAGGCGGACGGGACTTCCTGTGCACCCTGACCTCAGCCTCCGCTGCCCCCTTCCCCCACTCCCCTCCTCTCCTCCGTCCTCCTCCTCCGTTCTCTGCTTCACATCTGGACACCCACGCAGGGTGGACACGGGCACATCTGTAAGTCCCACGTCAGGCACTCTGGGAGGAGGCGGGTCGGAGGGGGACTGACCCTGTCTCCCCCACAGGGGTGATCATCAAGAGGAAGAGGGGGGAGATCCCCTGCCCCCTGGCCGTGGAGGCATTTGCTGCTCACCTCAGCTACATCTGCAAGTACGACGACAAATACAGCAAGTAGGTGCCCCCTCCGCCCCCCCACCCCAGGGCGGGGGCTGGGGGTGGGGCCTGCAGCCGCACACTGAGCCAGCGTCCACTGTGCCCTTCTCCACGCTCGGTCCTTTGCTGAGCTCCGTGCGGTTAATGCGGAGAAAGGGGCATTTTGAGCAGTGGTGTGTGGGGACCTGCTCTGTGCAGGAGGTGGGTAGTGTGGAGGATCCCACCCTCAGACGCTGTGAAGTCGGGGAGCAGAGACAGACGGGTACATGGGATACATGGAGGACCCCACACAGGGAGGAGTCCTAAGTTGGGTTGGCCCAGGAGGGACACACCGTCCTCACCCTCGGGGACAGAGAAGGCCCCCTGAGGTGACATCTGTCCTCCATCTGCAGGGAAGGGGGGGGTGGTGAGGAGGCATGCCCTCGGGGAGAAGAGAGCGCTTTGCAGAGGCCTGCAGCGAAGGGCGAACTTGACCTTTGGGAAGCAGTTCAGTGTGCACAGAACGCAGCCTTTGAGAAGGCCCCGAGCAGGCGGAGTCCCCTGGAGCCCCCTTCCCGGAGCCCCCAGAAGCCCTGGCTCCCTGTCTCCTCCCCTCCCTCCCTATAAGGGGAGCTGCTCTCACCTTCTTTGTCTTCAGGGAAGCTCTCAGTGACGGAGCCTCAGCCATGCCAAGCGACACCCCCCATCCCCAGCCTGGTTCCCACCCCTGCTGACCCGGAGGAGGCTTTGGGGACCCTCAGCCGTGAACTGGGTGCCCAGCGGCCGCCCGGGTCGGCCCCTCTGACTCCCGGCGTCCCTGCAGGTATTTCATTTCGCACAAACCGAACAAGACCTGGCAGCAGGTGTTCTGGTTTGCCGTCAGCATCGCCGTCAACAACGCCTACATCCTGTACAAGATGTCGGACGCCTACCACGTGAAGAGGTACAGCCGGGCGCAGTTCGGCGAGAGACTCGTGAGGGAGCTGCTGGGCCTGGAGGACGCCTCTCCGACCCACTGATGCCGGGGCCCGGGCCCAGGTAAGGGCGGGGGGGGGCCGAGGAGGGAGAGGGCCCGCTGCTCCAACCTGCCCGCCCAGAGCCCCGGAGACACGCTGCTTGACCTCTGCAGGGACCCCACGGACCTGGCCAGGGGACGGCGGCTGTCCCGGTTTCCGTCCCAGGAAGAGCATGGCCTCCCCCTGGGGAGTGGCCGCCTGCCTCTCGGAGATCCTGCGCAAGGACGGGGCGCCGCACCCGACTCCATGTGCCACACGCCGCCAGGGCTGCCGCCAGCCAGCCCTGTCCCGCCCAGCCGGGCGTCCCGTCCGCGCGGCGCCTGCAGGAGACCTCAGCTCTGAGCACCGGGGACCTGGCCAGGCCCTGCCACCAGAGGTGCTGGGGACAGGATGAGCCGCAGCATGTCCTGCTGGAAACGCCGCTTTGTGAAGATGTCAAGATGTGTGTGACGTGGTCACCTGTACGCCGCACCTGCAGGTGACCGGAAGCAGGCAGAGATGGGCCGTTTGCTGCTCGGACTGTCCCGGTGCCCCTGGGGCGCCGTGGAAACGCCGTGACGGATGGGGGAGGGGCCCAGTGCTGGGAGGGAACGAGGTCTTCCTGGTCCTGTGGCCTGCTCGGCGGGTGCACAGGGAAAAGGGAGAACGCCAACAACCGCAGTGAAGTGTGATGCTATTTTTTATTTTTAAATATATCTTCAGGTTATTTTCTTACTGTTGCTTAAGATCTTCTGTAAAAGGAAGATGTCTCCCTCCTTTTGTCCCCCCTCCCCTCCTCCCCCGCCTTGCCCAGTCACCGCCGTGCGTGGTCTTGGTTCTGTGGTCCGAGCCGTGTTCCCCTGCTGGGGCCAGGAGGGGCTGCTCACCGCCAGAACAGACGTGTTGCAGCCACCGAGGCCCCAGGGGGACTCACCTTTAGCTCCGTCACCGAACTTGTCATGGGCAGAATTACTTGTTTAGGAAAATATGTCGTGTTGCTGAAACGAGCAGCAAAGTGTCTCCAGGGAGGACCACCTGCTAAATCTCCTCCCCCTCCCCCGTGTGCAGTGAGTCACCTGGCCCTGTTTGCCCATCTCAGGTCGCGCCCTGGGGGCAGTGTGGCTGGCACTGCAGACCCCACAGGGCCTGGGCTGCTAGTCTGGTGGTGGGATTTCCCCCGGGGCCTGCTCACTGCAGGACGGGAAGGGTCACCCGATGAGCAGCCGGCAGCCAGGGCCCCAGTTACCCCCCCGGGACGTCCGGGGCTCTTTCTGAACCCTGGCCCCCAGGTCTGCAGGGGAGGAGCCCGCAGCCAGGGTGGCCTCCCACTGTGCGGCCGTCCCCACAGACGCGAAACAGGGCATTTCTGGGGTTGCCTGGTCCCCCTGCAGCCCACTTCGCGCCGCCCCCTCACTTTCACACGCGTGGCATCTACTCTACTCAGGCTTTGGGACTCCCTCCCGTGGTCACACGCAGCGCGTGAGCCGTGTTGCCGGCAGCATGCCCCCAGCTCCCTGTCACCCGTGTCCCGGTGCGTGACGGCCACCCTCGTCCCCGGCGTTCGTTCAGTGCCGCGGATCGCAGGCCCCACTTTAAATTGCGTTTTGAAACACCGTTGCCATGTCCTTTACTTGGATGGAAAGCACTTTTACCACGTGGAGAAATATATTTTTAATTTGTGATGCTTTTCTACAAGGTCCACTATTTCTGAGTTTCATGTGTTTCCAACACTCTAGGGCGACTAATGAAAGCTGATGAGTTTTCTTCTCTGTCCAAATACGTAAAAGAAAAAATAAAAGTCTATTTAGATGTTGATTCTTTGTTAATATATGGGACCTGGTTAAAAGGCCACCGGGCGCGGCCCTGCCCCCACCCTCCCCAGCATCCCGCCGTGAGGGGGTCTCTCTTCGGGCTGAGCTGGGGCGTCTGCGCGGAGGGACATCGGGCACACGTATCTGCCATCAGCCAGCGGCGTGCGGAATCGCCAGCTCCATCCCTTCTCCTCTGGTGGGTGTTTAAAGGCAAAACCATCTCCCCACGGGCCAGAAGTTGGGGTGAGAGCCACCTCGTGACGCGCTGGTGGAGGGAGCTGAGCCACACTGGCGCCGCCCTCCGCCCACGTGGCTCCCTCTGCTGTCCTGCAGGACACGGTTTGGGAGGCGTGGCAACAAAGGTGAAAAGACAAGGCCCACTTCCTCGGAGTGTCGCCCGTGCACCAGCTCCTCTGCAGGGACCCCGGGAGGTAGGCGTGGCCTGTCGTTGCCCCAGGTGACAGGAGAGATGGACAGCCCGCCCAGGGGAGCCGCTGAAGGCCGATGGTGTCCTCAGGGCCCAGGCCGCTGCCACCCTGTGGGTGAGGGGCCAGAGTGACGGTTCTCCAAAATGCCACAGTCAGACTCTCCTCAAGGCTTTTCCCACTCGCCAGGTCGTCCCTGGTTCTGTCCCCACCGCACCGGTCAACCATCGGGGGTAGAAAGCACAGCCTCCCCTGTCGGGTGCCAAAGGAAAGGGAATCCCCCACAAGATCACGGCGCCCCCACCTGGGAAGTGCGGGAAGTGCGGGAACCGTCCTCAGGCCCCGCCCCAGAAGCGGGACGGGCTCTGGAAAAAGCCGTCTCCGAAGCCCCTGCTGCCGGGCCCCTGAGTCTGTAGCCTGACTCTGTCCCAGATGCCTGCTCCCTCTACTGGGGACACTGAGACGCTCCACTTTGGGCTCCATCACTTGTCATTCTGCGGCTTCTGCATCCCGTCTTTGAAAGTCTGTCTGAGCCTTCTTTCTGAGGACGTCCTTCTCTCCCAGGAGGAAACAAAAAAGGGCGTCAGGAGCCAGCGGGTGCCCGGAGCGGCTGCTGTAAACCGTCCGCAGGAAGTGAGGGCGCGCCAGCTGCTCGGGCGCCCACCCTGTAGCCGCTGGTGCGTGCAGATGCACATGCGTCCCTCCGGGTGCTGGCCCGCACCCTGTTTCCCCACCACCCAGGGGTGTCCTTGGTTCCAACCTCTGCTGGCGGCCACCTGGCAGCTCCCTGGTAGGGCACAGGCTGCTGGCGTTGGCGGCGGCTCTGTCTGAACCCTCCCCACGCTGTGGGGGCGGGGCGGGGAGCCCATGCCTCAGCGCACAGCCACGGGCAGGCCTTCTTCCGAAAGAGGCACCTGTAAGGCGTCTCCACGCATGCTCCTCCTCGCGAGCTCCGGCCTGCTGCTCACGTCGGACCTTGATCTCTGGCGCCCACACTTGAGATGCTGTCTCCTGTAACAGACCCGCAGGGAAGCGGAATCCCACGGGCAGCCCACGTTCAGGTGCGAGGGCCCACGCTTCCTTCCGGGGAGGAGGTGTCTGTGGCCGAGGGTCGCGGCGAGAACTGGCAGCCTCTCTCCCCCCCCAGGGGGCACCACGTGGGCAGTGCGCCGCCCTGGTGGATATGTCTGTTGGGTCTTTCCCATTCGTTCTCTTACTCGTCCCTGTGACAAGCCCTGCCCAAAACTTCACCACAGTGGAAAGGACGGTGCATGGGTGCTCCTGGTCCAGGCTTGGCTGTAGGCGCTCTGCCTGGTCATTTCATGTCGTCCTCAGGGTCGCCCTGTGAGCTAACGAGCCCCACTGGGGACCGGGGAAAGCGATGCTCTGGGGCGGGGGAAGGACTCGAGGGGGTGGAGCTTGGGCAAAGCCCGGTGCCGTCACTGGTCAGTCTCAGCCACCCTGCTCGGAACTGCCACCGCCCTGCGTGATGCTGCGAGCCGGGCACAGGCTGACACACGAAACCTGGGTGGTCCCCTGGAGGGGTCTGTGGGGGTGGCTGTGGGCAGGATACCCAGCTGCCAGAGGGGGAGGTTTCAGCAGGAGGGGACCCCCGGAGTGGCAGAGGGAGCAGTCAATCTTGCTGTCGGACCCAACACACACCCCGCCCCTGAAATTCAGGGTGCTTAACCTTGTTAGACACCAGACATGCCTGGTTTGGCATATCCCCAAAAGACGAGTGTGCCCCTCAGAGGGCTGGAAGTAGCCCGCACCCGGCCAGGCCTTGCCAGTCTGCCTGGAGGCCAGTGACGTGTCTTGGCACCGCGTGTGAGCAGCGGGCCAGAGGTGGTCCTCCTGTTCCAGAGGGTTCAGCCCAGCCACGTAGAGTGACCGTCTCACAAATGCATCAGGCCGACAGGAAACTGTTTTCTCCTAGCAAATAAGGAAAGGCTTCTCTCTGCAGGCTGACAATTGACCTGAGGGGTTGCTTGTCCCCAGGTGCCTTCTAGGGACCCACCTTCCGCCAGAGGAAGGGGCCACCGCTTTGGCAAAAACAGGCAGAAGACAGCCACTAACTGGGCAGAGAGGGTTGAGTTTTTTAAAATCAGCTGTTCCCCTAGCCTGTGGGTCCCTTCAGAAATGCACCTCGCCTCACGCCTGAGAGCTCCCCGCAGCGGTAGGGGAAGCATGGGGAATGAACAGGAGGGGAAGGAAAGGGTGGGGCTTCTCTCTCAGTAGGTTGGAAGAGGGGCCCAGAACAGTTGTAGACATTGTGTTAGGTGTGGATTGAAGATCTGGATGGTGGGTTGTGTGGTTTTGATCGAGGCATTTTGGGGGTCACTTTTATCCATTTCAGTATAATGCCACAGCCTTGATACCAACGGCAGCCCTATCCTTACTGGCCTTATCAACACGGACCCTCACTTATCGGTAGAAGTTCAGTGTCCCGAGGGGGACAAGTGCCCTGCTAGGTCCTGTACCATTTAAGCCGAATGTCCATCCCTGGCCATCGCCCCACAACGTGACCAAGTTGGGGGTCCGGAGGCAAGGACACTGGATCCGCACAGACGCAGTTGGAAACCCTGGTGCATCGTTGACTCTGGAGGGGACGGTTCTTCTCCTGTCGCCCCAGCCCCCTTCCGGCCGTGGAGCACGTGGTCGCTGGGAGGCAGCCTCCAGCTCCCCCGGGAAAGCATCTCCCGGCTGCGGAAACGGCCCCTGGGGCTGCAGGCCTATCCAACACCTGCGCCTTCACCTGGGGGGAGTCAGGGGGGCTCCTCCATCCCCCTCCCTGGAAGCTTCCTCCACTGCTGCCCTCACCACAGCCCAGTCTTCCTCCTCCCCCTCCTCAGAAGGTTCTGGAGTCACAAGCTGGAAAGGTAGGCCCTTGTGAGCAGACACACACACACACACACACACACGGAGGGAAAAGTGCCCTCCAGCGAGAGCTGGTGTGTGCAGGGTGCAGCGAAACACAGGGCGTGCGACTTTGGCTTTGCGCTAATGCCCTGAAAGCCGTAAAATGGGAATGGCTTCCGTTAACACGGAAAATCTCTGTGGATAAGGAGATTATCTGCGCTTTTCGGGGTCCAGTACCGTCACTGCCGGAGAGTGAAAAGATGCCGAGAGGTGAGTGAGTGCTTTTCAACTTGGAATCTCTGACAGCGCGCTCCGGCGACGCTTTGAGTTCTTCTGCACACCCCAAATAACTTTCAGACACCCCTTTAAAGTTTTAATGAGTTCGGGTCTTTGCTCGCCAAGCCTTTTAGTAAGCACTGAATCTACCCAGACTTCAGTGTTTGGTGACCCTGACGGGATCGTGTTCTGTTTGTCCCCCGCCACCCTCTCGGTCTCCCTTCCCTCCCCTCCCCTCCTCTCTCTTCCCTTCCCCCCTCTCTCCTACCCCCTTCCTTCCCCTCCCCCTCCCCCACACTGCTTCAGTCTCTGGACTCCCCTCTCCCAGTGCAGAGGGGCTGTGGGAGCCTGCCTTCCTGTCACTGGGGCAGGTTCTCCAGCCTCAGTGCCCAGGGGCCACCGGGACCCTTCCCCCTCAGCAGGGTGAGGAGTGGGGGATGTGATGCTTTGTACCCAAGACATCCTGAGGGGACAGACGCCCAAGGAAGAGGTGAGACTTCAACAAGGAGGGGACGGAAGAGCCTTTACCCCCTTTACCGCCGGGACTGGGTGGTGATGGGATTTACTTTACTGCCTCCGGGGCCCTAGCCTCCTGGGCCAGGCTTGCTCAACCCTCCTTTCTTCGGGAGGTGGGGACCTCTTGGGGGCTCCCGGGACTCCTTGGAAAATTAACCAGCTACTTCCTGGTTTGAGAGAGGGGACAGCGGAGGGGAAGGGGACTAAAAGTCATTCGTGAAGGACACTTTTTGGGCCTCTTCTAAACCACTAAGACCCCCGGGATGTAAGCAAGGCCAGGCTTGGCGTCAAGGACTGTCAGGCAATGGGAAAGACACAAGCACCTCACAATAATAACTGTGTAAAAGATAAAGAACAATGGCCGTAGTTTCCCACCCACCACCCACCAATGAGGACACGCGGCTGAACCGTGGTCAGTCTCCAGGGCAGAACACTTTGGAAGGACTTGTTACAGGAGATCAGCAGGAGGCAGAGAGAGAGAGCAGGTGCAGACATTACTCAACAAAACTAACAGGCCTGGCCCTGGTGGGAGCGTGGTCCTGCGAACTGGAAGGTGGCGGGTTTGATTCCTGGTCGGGGCACATGCCTAGGTTGCAGGTTGGCCCCGACCTGGGCATGTAAGAGAGGCAACCAATGAAAGTTTCTCTCCCTGGCTGGTGTGGTTCAGTGGGTTGAGTGCTGGCCTGCTAACCAAAGAGTCATGGGTTCTATTCCCAGTCAAGGCACCTGCGTGGGTTTCGGGCCACGTCCCCAGTAGGGGGTGCAAGAGGCAACCACACATTGAAGTTTCCCTACCTCTCTCTCTCCCTCCCTTCCCCTCTGTCTAAAATCAATAAGCATGTCCTTGGGTAAGTATAAAAACAAAACTAAACAAGGGCCTGTTTCTTAGAGCAA